CTTTTTCTTTTTCTCTTTTCTTCATTCTTTCTTTCTCTTTACTATGTATACCCTTATAAATTTTTATCTCTCCTTGTTTTCCCATTTTCTTTTACCTATCTTTCTTTGCCTACTTCTTCATCGTCGCTTTCACCGTTTATTTTTTGGTCTTTCATTTTCTTTCTTTCTTTCTTTTTTTCTTTCTTTTTTTTTCTTTCTTTCTTTTTTTCTTTCTTTTTTCTTTCTTTCTTTTTTCTTTCTTTCTTTTTTCTTTCTTTTTTTCTTTCTTTCTTTATTTTTTCTTTCTTTCTTTCTTTCTTTCTTTCTTTCTTGCTTTTTTCTTTCTTTATTTATTTCTTTCTTTTTTCTTTCTTTCTTTCTTTCTTTTTTTCTTTCTTTTTTCCTTCTTTCTTTCTTTCTTTCTTTTTTCTTTCTTTCTTTCTTTTTTTCTTTCTTTTTTCCTTCTTTCTTTTTTCTTTCTTTTTTCTTTCTTTCTTTCTTTCTTTTTTCTTTCTTTGTTTCTTTTTTCTTTCTGTCTTTCTTTCTTTTTTCTTTTTTTCTTTCTTTCTTTCTTTCTTTTTTTCTTTCTTTCTTTTTCTTTTTTTTTTTCTTTCTTTCTTTCTTTTTTCTTTCTTTCTTTCTTTCTTTTTTTTGTCCTTACTTTTTACCATTCTCTCTCTATCCCCAATTTCTTGTTTTTATTCGACTTTATCTTCACTATCGTTTTTTTTCTTTCTTTTTTGTTTTATATCTCTCGCTTTCATTCATTCTTTCTTCTTTTTTTTTCTCCTCAGTTTTTAGCTTCATTCTCACTTTCGCTCTTTCTTATTCCCCCCCCGCTCTACAATTTCTTCCTTTCGATCTTTTTTTGGTGCATTTCTCTTAGAATTTTACTATTTCCTTCTCGTACCTTTATGTTTCCTTCTTTGAATTCATTTATTCATTCTTTCTTTAATTATTTTTCTTCTTTTGTCATTCCATTCCTGATGCTGTTTGATAATTTGTTTTTATATTTTCTCATTCATTTTTATCCACTTTTTTTAATTTTAAACACTTTTTTTTTGTTCTTTCTTTTTCATTCATTGTCAGTTTTGATTATTTTTATTTATTTTTTCTTCCTTTATTTGTATTATTTGTTTCTTTATTTATTTTCTCGCCTTTTTCGTTTAATTCCTCTTTCATTATAGCCGTTTTTTACCAGTCTGCTTTCACCAGACTGCCGTGTCTAACTTTATTTGACTTCTTTCTTTCTTTCATCAATTCTATCATTTTTATTTTCTCTTTTTCTAGATTACTTATATGCTTTCTTTCTTTCATTCATTCATTTATTCTTTTTTATTTTCTCGTTTACTAGCTTACATATAGTTTTCTTTTGATTGATTGATTCTTTCTTTCTTTCTTTTTTCTTTTCTCTTTTGTTAGATTACTTATATTATTTTCTTCTTTTCTTTCATTTATTCGTTTTTCTTTTCTCTTTTACTAGCTTACTTAAATTTTTCTTTCTTTCTGTCTTTCCTTCCTTCCTTCATTCATTCATTCAGTCAGTCTTTCCTTTTTTCTTTTCTCTTTTAGTAGCATACTTATATTCATTATTTCATTCAACTTTTCTTTTTCTTTTCTCTTTTACTAGCTAACTTATATTTTCTTTCTTTCTTTCATTCATTCATTCATTGTTTCTTTCATTTCCCTTTTGCTAGATTACTTTTATTCTTTCTTTCTTTTTTCCTTTCAGTCATTCAGTCTTTCTTTCTTTTCTCGTTTACTAGCTTACTTGTATTTTTCTTTCTTTCATTCATTCACTTTCCTTCTTTCTTTATACTTTTCTCTTTTCCTAGTTTGCTTATATTTTTTCTTTCTTTCACTCAGTCATTCTTTCTTTTTTTCTCTTTCACTAGATTATTTATATTCTTTCTTTTTTTTCTTTCATCCATTCTGTCTTTCTTTTGGCATTTACTAGCTTATATTTTTCATTCTTTCTTTCTTTCATCAATTCCGTCATTCGTTTTTCTCTTTTAATAACACACTTATATTCTTTCTTTCCTTCTTTCCTTTTCTTTTTCCTTTTTGCCCACTTTTCTCTTTCTTCCTTTTTAATCATATTTTCTTAAACATTTTTTATATTTTCCGAATATTTAACACCTTCATTTTCCTTAATTTTTTATTTCCTTCCTTCCTTCCTTCCTTCCTTCCTTCTTTCCTTCCTTCCTTCCTTCCTTCCTTCCTTCCTTCCTTCCTTCCTTCCTTCCTACGCTGTCTCGTCTCCCCTCCTTCGTCTATTTCCCGCCTTCAGCCTTTCTCTCTCTTTTCCCCATTAAGGATCTTACCATTCAGACATGGAAATGCAGACGCCGACATACGTTGGCCAGATATGTCTTTTCCCGTAAGCAATCCAACTGGTCCCGTTCCCCCGACTAAATACAAATTCGCGTATCCTACCCACCTTCGCCAAAAAACAATTCCCAGCCCACCATCCCATCATCGCAGATTCCTTTTTCCTGCTTCCCATTCACTCGAGCACTGAAAAGCAATAAAAAAAAACAAGAGTAGAGATTTAAAGCAGTCAAGAATGACTGTAACATTGAAAGCAAATGACAATATGGCCGACCTGCGACCTGTCGATCGGCTGTGCCATGTTTGCATAGCTTTTAGCAATCTCTCGAAGATAATGTTGCATTTATTCAGATAGGAGAAAAAAATGAGAACTAAGCAAATATTAGTTTTAGTAGTAATAGTAGTAATATCTTTTTGACGTGATGTGTATTAAAATATTTTTCATAGTAATATCCTTTATAGAGGGCTTCCTTTATATGCCATTATTATTATTATTATTATTATTATTATTATTATTATTATTTTATTTCTAAGAAGAGAGAAAAGGGTTGAAATTGTGATGTAGAAACTGTAGCGATAACTTTTATTATTACTTTTACTACCCGTCAAAAATTCCCGGATTTTACATTTTAATCGGGTTTGGTTTGTGGCTTATCAACCTCAATGGGATATTTAATGCCAACAAGATTTTTTATCGCTGGTATATATATATATATATATATATATATATATATATATATATATATATATATATATATATATTCATGAATTATTCACACAAAAAACAAATGCAAAGGTTAATGATTTAATTGGCGAGAAATCCATCGTCGCAAACAATTCAAATAATATACAAAAAACCTCCGAATCCGTTATGAATGAAAAGATCCTTGTTTTTATAAATTTCTGCCGCATTAGTTCTTATTTTTTTTACAAGCTTTCGTCTGTTCCTACAGACATCTTCAGGTATGGAATAGATGTTGTTCTTGTTTTTCTCTTAGTAATAAAATTTTAAATCAAACTCAGCGTTGCTACTGCGCGCTCCAAAAACAATAACTCATTTCCAATAGCATTTTCGGATACAACAATACATATATTTTCGTTTGTCCTCTTATTACTATAGAAACAAGGATCTTTTCATTCATAACGGATTCGGAGGTTTTTGTATATTATTTGAATTGTTTGCGACGATGGATTTCTCGCCAATTAAATCATTAACCTTTGCATTTGTTTTTTGTGTGAATAATTCATGAATTTTTTAAATTGATTGCACGTTTATCGAAATATATATATATATATATATATATATATATATATATATATATATATATTTTCAAAAATGTATTGTTGGTATTTTTTTTCAAAAATGTACTGCTGGTAATAATTTTTCCAAAAATGTGTTGCTGGTATTAAACCTATTTTTATACTTTCATAGTGTTTTGACCCTTTATGGGGGTGGGGGTAATTATTTGCCCATAGCTGGTACCCTGACAGGTGGTACTATACTGGGTAAGTATTGAACTGGGAACACCAGTAATTAAGAGGTGGTTTCATGCTCCTGAAAACCTTGCCCTGCTGTCAGATGTAGTTTATCGCCTTACCCAAAACGCGGATGACATTTATCGTCCTACCCAGGACGAATGTTTTAATCTTCTCAAGAATCTTAATTATTCAGTTAATGATTGAAGAAGCTCATGGTGAGTTCCACTGCTATAAAATAACCGTGGAAATTCCCCAAAGGCATTAAAAAAATGTTGTGTTGAACGATTTTAACGCAATATTGCAATAACAGTCATAAATAAAAATGCTGTTCATTATTTTAAGAAGTAAGGGGGTACAAATGAAAAGATTTGAAATTGACAAGGTGTTCCATTTCACTGAAGCAAATGTTAAAATACAAGAGCATTATCGCTTCCTCTTTCTCTCTCTCTCTCTCTCTCTCTCTCTCTCTCTCTCTCTCTTCATTTACTCACTGATACCGAACAGTCTTTCTGATGTGTCTTTTCCGTTTTTTTTTCCTCAATGGAAACGAAATAGACCATTATCCATTAGACATTAGCAGAGCCAAACAAATTACAGAAGAATAACAGCAACAACAACAATAATAATAATAATAATGATAATAATAATAATAATAATAATAATAATGATAATTTCATCAAACAATGTATGTCGATATGGAAAACTACACTTTACCTCAATCATAAAAATGGAACCTATAAGTCTGGCGAAATAAACATCAATAGAGGAATATTTCAAGGTGACTCTTTGTCTCCTTTATTATTTTGCATATCACTTATAGTATTAACCAGCCAACTTAACAAGACAGAATGCGGTTACAAAATAGCTCAAAAGAAAATAAACCATCTATTTTACATGGATGACTTAAAATTGTATGCTAGGAATGACAATGAGCTGGAAGGTCTTCTGCAAACTGTAAAATGCTTCAGTGAAGACATTGGAATGAAATTCAATTTGGATAAATGTGCTAAAGCTACAGTTTTACGAGGATCGCTACAACAAACTTCCTCTATTAGTTTAGACCCTGCTGTAACAATAAAAGATTTAGAACAAGGAGAAGCTTATAAGTACCTAGGTGTAAATGAGAGTGAAGGAATTCACCATAAGAAAATGAAAGAAATAGTGCGTAAAGAGTACTATAGAAGGGTACGACTGGTATTAAAAACTGAATTGAATTCTCAGAACAGAATTATGGCCATTAATAACCTTGCCATCCCAGTGGTCCAATATAGTTTCAACATCTTGAACTGGACTCTAAATGACATCAGACAAATGGATTCTAAAAACAAGAAAGCTTTTTTCCTAAGTATAAGATGCATCATCAAAAGGCTGATGTAGACCGTCTATACATACCCCTTGTAAAGAAGGTGGAAGAGGTCTTATTCAGCTAGAATTGTCATACAAGACAACAACTATTGGCTTACTAACTTACATGGAAACAACAAATGACTGGATGATAAAATTAGTGAAACAACATGAAAACAGAAAGAAAAAATATTCAATAATAAAAGAAGGCAGTAAATACAAACAACATTTACATTTAGTAGATTCTGTAGTAAATCAAAACAGAAGCCAAGAACCAACTATTGCAGCAAAAGATATGAAAAAAAAAGCCAAGGATAAAGCCCTTGAACAGATGAAACAACGCTGGCAAGACAAACCTCTGCATGGCCAATATCCAGAACGTGCAAATAAACCCAATGTTGATAAAGTTAATACTCATCGATGGTTACGAGCATCTGGATTAAAGTCTGAAACTGAAGGTTTTATTCTTGCAGCGCAAGACCAGAGTCTTTTTCACTAGGAATTTTCAGGCAAATATCATACATAAATAATGTGGATCCAAAATGCAGGTTCTGTGACAAATACCAAGAAACAATAGACCATCTAATCTCAGGATGTTCTATACTTGCCCCAAATGAATATAAAAATCGTCACGATAGAGTGGGGCAATACTTACACTGGACAATGTGCAAACACTTTGAAAATGTGTAAGCAAACACTGGTATGAACATCGGCCAGCGCCGGTTACAGAAATAGAAGATGTCACCATTCTATGGGATTATACCATCCACACAGACAGAAAAATTGAAGCAAATAGGCCGGACATTATTGTCAAAAACCAGAAAGAAAAAAACTTGCCTACTAATTGATATGGCTTGTCCAGCGGATTGTAACATAGCAACCAAGGAATTTGAAAAACTATCAAAATACAAAGACCTGGAAATTGAAATAGAAAAATGTGGAAATTGAAAACAAGAATAATACCAGTGGTAATAGGTGCACTTGGAATTATAAAAATGGAACAAAACAACACATTGAAAGAATCCCTGAAACCCCAGCTTAAGAGACATACAGAAAATTGTCTTATTAAGTACAGCACACACACTAAGGAGAACTTTGTTTATGTAACGCTAGCAACTTCATCGGAGATAAAAAAAAAAAAAAAAAAAAAAATTAACATGAAATGTATTATAACAACACACCACGACCTGCCTTAGGTCTTTCCGCAGACTTGGTAGGTAGTGTGTCCATAGCAGAAATAATAATAATAATAATAATAATAATAATAATAATAATAATGATAATGAAATCGAAATCTCAAAAATGTGGCATATGGGAACATCAACAATCCCTGTTGTAGTTGGAGCCCTAGGACTGGTTGGAAAAGATTCCAGTAGACTAATTGAAGGGATTCCTGGAAGTCCATGCCTCAAGGAGATACAAAAAATTGTTCTGACAAGTACAGCCCACACTTTACGAAGGGGTTTATCTATGTAATTTTTTTTTTTTTTTTTTTTGTCAGTGGAAAGTGTCATGATGCCATTTCTAACCTTAGGTCCCTGGGCGGGACCCGGAAAGAAATGTGTAAACGCCAGAAATCAAAGGAAATAAAAATAATAATAATAATAATGATGTTGCCATTCCAAATGACAGAAATATAGCAAACAAGGTCATTGAGAGAATATCAAAATACTCGGAGTTGAAAGTAGAGACAGCAAGATTTTTTAAATGCATGAAGGAAATGTCAAGAATTATTCCAGTAGTGTACGGCGCACTGTGATCAATCCCATTAAAACTGTTTGCCTTCCATGACCGGCTGGACATACCAACTTGCAATCGTCCAGAAATCGTCTCTTTTGGACACTGCACATATTCTGAGGCAAGTGTTATCTGTCTGATGTCCTCGTTTGGACTTGAAAGATAATTGAAGGTACCCGGTATATTGGAAAACCTATACTGTGTGATGACATAATAATAATAATAATAATAATAATAATAATAAACTCGTAATAGGCTTTAAAAAGAAAAAAAAATCTTTACCCCTTTATGAAGAAGAAGCCGATAAATATGGTCATTTACTTAGTTATGGCAAATGCCCGAATGTATTGTGTACCCAGTAAGGATTGAACTCACTACTTAATCGTAATTGATTTAACAAGACAAGATTGCCAACCATTACATGACGTCGGAGAGTCCGAAGAAGACCATAGATACGCAAAATGGCGTCAAGTCTTGAATATTGAGCGGAAGTAGAGGTTCAACCGCCATAAAATAAACAAGAAAACTTAAACGAGAAGCGAAAAAATGAGTGCAAAAGCAAATAGAATCTAAAATGAAGTTTAACGTCTCTACGTGGCCAGTTTCTACACCGAAACAGAAAGTCTGATA